TTTGAATACTTGCAGCAGAATCTGCTTTACTTGGTGACTTCAGTTACTGGCAGAAACCCTCATTTGTAGCAGAAAGAATGGCAGTACCATCTTTTTGAAAAAAAAAATCGATTATCCTGGTGGAGCAGATGGAGAGCTCCTGAGTGTGGCTTAGAACCGGGCAGGAAGATGTTGACACTTTCCCCCGTGCCAGGCCAGGAAGGGAGGCTGGGGCTCTGCTTGACAGTCATACCTCACACATTAAAGCAAGCACCTTCCAGCTTTTCTGGATTTAAAATGTCTAAACAAAGAGGATTTTGTCTTAATCCCCAGGAGAAGTGCTCCTCTATCACAGAAAGGCTCTTTGCACAGAAGTTCCCAGTGTTCCTAAGCCCTCTTGCAGATGTGAGCAGTGTGCTGCAGATAATTTGTATCAGGAGGAAGCCTTATCACTCGGGCTTACATATTTTGTCCTTATCCGTTGGACTCTTAAAAAGCTGTTGCATTTAATTACTCATTTCTCAAAGCATTTATTAATCATTTATTATCTCTTTGTTCGTTTGCTGGAGATGGAACTTGACGTATAAAGTGAGCCCAGTCATTTCATAACCGAGCACATCTCAGGAGGATGGAAGCACTGAGTGGTAGGAAGGGCCTTACTCATCGTGGCACGTGGTGGTACAGCTCTAGCTGGGGCCTCTGGTACTTCAGAAATAGAAATACCACTGCCTTAAGCTGCCCCATCACCTGAGATATCTGAGGCACTGAATAATTAGGTGACAGCTGCATATTGGATTGAAGATTATAGCCTTGTTTTGGCACTGTTAAGCGCCTTACTCATCGTGGCACGTGGTGGTACAGCTCTAGCTGGGGCCTCTGGTACTTCAGAAATAGAAATACCACTGCCTTAAGCTGCCCCATCACCTGAGATATCTGAGGCACTGAATAATTAGGTGACAGCTGCATATTGGATTGAAGATTATAGCCTTGTTTTGGCAGTGTTAAGCCTGCTCAGCTGTTCACTATGAATGAACCTTTCCCAGCACCTGGTTTGGGTGTCAGAGCTCACAGTGCTGCAGCCTTCCCTCTGCACCTTTGGTTAACAGAGCAGGAGAACAGCTTTTGGGTTGAGAATGTTGAGAACTGAGTCTTTTTGGGAATCTGACAAAAATCTCCTCTTTAGTACCCGGTGTTGTAGAACTGCAGGTAAAGTCTGGTCAGCCTGAGCACGGTGGTCACTCTCATGCTTCATCCCCTGCTCTCTGTCTGCTTTCAACACAAAGTGTCCCCAAAGAGGCATCAGAGGAAATCCTCAGCGTTCAGCACTACTGGCCACAAGTCCTGGCATCAGAGGGCTCAGGGAACAGCACAGGGTCTGCCTTGGCAGAACGACAGCACTGGCTGAGTGATTTCCTCAAAGACTTACAGGTTCTGCCAGGGGAGTCAGCATCAGATTTCTCCCAGATGTTTCAGTTTCCTTGTGACTGCTACCAGAAGATAAAGAAACCTTTATTTCCTGGTAGCAAGAAAACTTCATTTCCATATTGAAACCTTTATTTCCTTATCAAAACCTTTATTTTGTTATTGAGCAGCATCCCACTTCTCTATTGCATTTCTCAAGGAGAGCAGTACAGCAAACAGCAAAACAGCCACTGTCAAGCAACCAACCTCACCAAAACCCCACCTGCCTAAGGAATGAATGTCTCTATTCTGTCATTATGAGAAGAAGTCATAAGGCCCAAGATCATCCCAACCATCTTGAGATATCTTAACAAAGCACCTGATTCAGGCAGGTGTTTCTCTTTTGCTCCAGTCAATGGAGTAAGGAAGCTCTGAGAACAGAAGAGGAGACATCTTATAAATGCTGTTGCTTTATTTCTTCTGTCCGTGAAAAAATCACAGCCCACCTGGGTTTTAAATTGCTTTTCAGGCTTTCCTAATGAATGTCTCTGAATATTTGCACGTCTTTTGTTTGCCCTCAATATGGGGAAAAGCTTAAGTCAACAAGTTTTTATTTGATTTGTAAATAATGCCAGAGTGACACTTTATTACGGATTCCCAGAACTCCGACTCCATGTCTTATCCTTCAGATATGACATACCAGAGACATCACCAGAGACAGGCTGCCAGGTGCAGAGTAGGGGACAAAAATTAAAATAATTTTGAGGAAAGACCATCTAGAACTTTACCCTATACCTCTGTGTAGCCTACAAACCATCAGGAGCTGGTGAAATAATTGCTTTGGACAGATAATAAAACATCCTCAAGCAAAACTAAGGTATTTAATATACTGCTCAAGTCAATTTCCCTTATTTCTGCTGTCCTTTTGCTTTTAATAGTGGTTTAATGAAAAATCCAGAATTAATTGAAACTGGCATTAGGCATTCATGTGTTCCGTGAGGATTTCATTGCTTCAATATTTCATAAGCTGACTTCACTGCTATGCTTCTCCTTATCCTGCTTTCATAGGCCAGGATATCATCCCTTTTCATAAAATGAAGGGTCCCAGTGTGGACAGATGGGGGTACGTGAGGAAAGTCTGCAACCACATCATAAGCAAAGAAATAAAAATAATAGCTGCTTTCTTCCTGCCACCATCCCCCCTTTCTCTGTAATGATTTGCATCTGAGCCTTGATGGGAAAGAGCTGTCCTAAAAATAAACAGGATCTGTCTGAAAGGTGTCTGAGGGAGGTATTTGGCAACTGTCAGGCTGTCACGTATGCTGGAGGGATGGAGCTGATGGACTCGCTGACACCAGACAGGCTCTGCTGAAGTGAGAATGCCTTATGCTCCCCTTGGCACTCACTGGGCAGAGTCTGCTGGCCAGAGCTGTCACACCACGGTGTGTCTGGGGCCTGTTCCAGGTCTGGCTGCCCTCAATGAGAGGCTGCCCTTGCATGGCTCTGGGAATTGGATCAGACCCTTGCTTTACCCCTGAGACTCTGGCTTTACTCCAGGGATGAAGTTTGGCTCCCTAAGGGAATGTCACCCCAGTGGGGAAGGAATCACCAGCCCTGGGCTTGAGGCTTTCTGCAGGTCTCTGAAAATGAGACCCCTCACTGAGGTACCTGGATATGGGGACCAGAGCCTGACCTTTTGCCTTTTCTGGGCTTTAACAGCTTTATCCCTCATTTTCTCCATCTCTAATAGGGGTAGAGTTGTTCTGTCTTCAAGGTTATTGGCATATTTGTAAATGCAGGCATCCTTAACTGCTCCCAAAGCATGACTGTGCTGAACGCAGTTCCTGTTTCCCACAAGGTGCTTGGAGAACATGTGTTACACCATACTGCAGTCATGAGGTGAGCAAACACAAACACCAAGACTGGCATGACTCATCTCACGCCTTTGCAGCAGCTCAGTGGCAGAGCAAGGACCCGAGAATCCCAGACCCCACCAAAACAATCATACCTTGGGAGTGACCCAAGCTGAAAGGAAATGCTGCAATTTCAGCAGCAGCATGAAGCTTCAGTTCTTCTCAGCTGCACAGGGAAATCTCCACTGCCCGTGGTTGTGGTGCAAGGGAAGATATTTTCTGCTGTTCTTGGCAGAGATAATGTGCTGGGGAGGGAAAAGGGAGGTGTGGAGGAAAGGTGGAAACCTCCTTGTTCCCCCACCATGGGAGTGGACACTTCTCTTATTCTCAATGGCAGCTGACTGCTGCCTTATCTGAAAATCAGACTGTTTTGTTATCTGCTGGGAAAGAGCAGCTCCTCTTTAGTTAAGAGCAGACCCTGAACTCAACAGTCTTGCAGTACTTTGAAAATACTGGTCTATGTTAAGAAGAATGGACGAGGGAATTAAAGTCTGTAATATGGGCTGCAGAAAAGTTACCTACAAGATAAGAGGGTGACTTGATCTTTTTGAGAAAAAGGGCAAAAAAGGCTTCCTTATCTTCGTGGTGTTTGCTCTGAAGTATCATCTTGTGACTGCCAGAGTCTGCCTTGCAGGATCAGTCAATTACAGCCTGTGGATGACATCAATTCCTTCCTTTCAGAGGTGGCATTGCATTTCCCAAAGTGTGGCTGGTTCCTCTCGGCACTTCAAGGCCTCTGTGCCACCTGTTTGTGCCTGCAGCCCTGTGGTTGAGGTATGGGGCTCCCTCTGACGTGCTGCACAGGATACCCAGCCCTGCAATTAGACAGGGTCTGAAAGGAAGAGCAAATCAAGACAACGAACCATGGAGGATTCCTGTGAGTCAGTGTCAGATGTGTGGGGGTAGGATGAGGAGTGAGTGAGTCCTACCCCTTCTGGAGGGTCCCGGATTGTTTGTGAGCAGTAACAGGGCAGATCTCCTGGGGGAATCTGCGCTGCAGTGATGAGAGTTGTTCACACAGCCAGGCTCTAGCTCATCAGGGTGGTGCGGCTCTCCTCCGTGAGGAATTTGTCACTATGCAGCTGTACTTCTCTTCATTAAAGTGGCCATGTGAAATAGCTGTGAGGTTGCTAAATGCCTGCTTTGCTAACTGATCTTCTCCCCAGCTGGCAGCTTTTTAGAGCAGGAGACATGAGGTTGCTAAACCCATTCATTTCTCACATGCACCCACGTTTCTAATGTCTGTGGAGATCTGGCTTTAAAAGTCCTCTGCCAGCCATTGGAATGAAGAGCACTTTGTGAAGACGCTGTAATTATGATGGGATTTAGGGGTGTGTGGAAATGATTCATGGAGACATTTCCCAGCCAGCAGGCTCATGGAGCCAGGTGAGCTCTTCCCTGGAATGTGAAGCACGCAGCGTGGCAACTGGGAGAAACAGGTTTGGCAGGACGTTTTTAAGCTGTTTGCAGCAGCCAGCCTCTTCAGAGCCACGTCCCTGCCTCGCTGCTCTCCCAGCTGGATGCTCTGCTCTGCCACGCCGGCCCTGCTGAGCTGGAGGGGATGGACACGCTGCGCAGGAGCCTGTCTCGGTGGAAGAGGTACCACATCAAGGTGCACCTGGCCGATGAGGACCTGATGATGCCCCTGACAGTCAGGCCCAGGGACACGGTGATGGACCTGAGGGCTCTCTTGGTCCGGGAGGGCATCACCTCCTGGAAGAAGACGTTTTATTACAACTCCAGGCAGCTCGAGGAGCATGAGACGCTCAAAGAAGCCAATATCCAGAATGGTTCTGTCCTCCTCCTTGTCAGCAATAAAAGGTAGGCAAGGAGCTCGTCTGCCGTGGGGGTGGTGCAGAGGAAGGGGAATACTCTGCTCCCTGTGTCTCAGCCCCTTGGGACACTTTCTTCTCGGGGTTTCTTGGAAGGCAGAGCAGGAACTCAAATCCTGCCATTTCCAGCAGGACTGAGGCTCTAGGCTCTTCAAATCCAGGCATGTGCTGTGAAATAAGCAGCTCAGAGGAGGTTGCTGGTTGCTGCTGCCTGTCTGTCTCTGGTCAGGTCTTGTTTTCCTGGTTATGTGGCCAAGCACAGAGAGAGAAACACGACAAGAAAAAGGGCAGAGGAGACTGTGCGACATGGGAGTGTTCTGGGAGCCTCTCTCTTGTCCTCTTGTGCCTGTCTCTCCCTGGTTCTTTGTGGTAAACACTTTCTGCAGGTATTTGGGGGTGGCACAGTCCTTGTGACACGAGAAGTGCTGCCAGCTTACAGCAGAGCACGAGCAGTGTGGACAGGGATGGCAGGAGGCTGCAGCTGCCCAAAACGTGTCTGAATCACAGCAGAAAGTACAGTGAGACTAGAGACTCCCAGGAGACCAGGGCACAGGAGATCAATCACGGCGAGCACTGTGTTCTGGTGGGGATGAAAGCTGAGATAATGGACCTTGGACTCACTGGCCCACAGGACAGTTTTGATTCAGTGTGCTGAATTTATGCCCACCTGCACTGTCTTTCCTAATGCCAGGTTGTTGCTGCCAGCATGATTAATTCTGTGAAGTGTTTTGGGGATACTGGGTAGAAGAGGTATGTTGTGGGTATGTGGTGTCTAATTCATCTTTCTAAATCCTGAGCCCTCTGAGTTATGTGTCTATGCTGATCAGAGTTTCCTCTGCAGAAAAGCCTGCACTAAAGACTTCAGTTCCTGATTATATCCCCCATACTGGAATGGTCCTATTTTCCAGTCCAGAGGCAGCTTGAAATCTCACACAAAGAAGATTTAATAAAGCGTTTCCTTTCAGAGCTCAGCCAGACACAGGAGATTTCACATCACTCAGCTAACTGCAAACCCCAAGTCACCCACGGCCCTTTTCTCCAACATCTCATTTCAGTTCTCTGATTAACTTGGCTCAGCTCCTCCTTTTCACCTGGTTTTTAATGGCAGAAGCACTTCTATTTGTTCTTGTTTCCAGTATTTATTTTTCCTAATTTTTACAGTCTGAATTTTTGAAGGTCAAAAAGGATTTGGAGGGTCTGAGTTGATGGAGTGCTGATGCTTGTTTGGCACATGCCTGGTTTCCATAGTGTGCTCTGCACCTTCCCACACGCTGCAGAAGCAGGGTGTAACTGCAGCAATGCAAAACTCACCAGGAGATCCTGCCCTGGTGTGCTGAGTTCAGAGGGCCCAGCTGAACTCACTGGCCATTTTTGAAAATCTAGAGCCTGTTGCTCAAAGTCCCAGCTCAGTTTTTGTGAGTACATTAAAAACGAAGTGGTATTTCTAATATTTTTCTCCATGGTTTTCCTGCAAACCTCCCTGGTTCCTAGACTAGCACCCTTGGCCAATCTCCTATTGCTTTTTCCAGGCCTGGGTGCAATGTGGGCAGTGCCCAGTCTCTACCTGAAGTCACGTCTCCTTGATTTTCTTTTGACATGAAGGATTATTGGGTTGTGCCTCACCCACTCCCAAAGGCATTTTTGTAAATGCCCAGATACTGGGGACACATTTCTCTGAAGGTTGATGGGGTGACTGAGCTATGGTCGGAGAGTTCCCTTAGATATTTCTGAGATGTGTGGCTTGGCAGTCCTGGGCTGAGGGCAGCTTGTGACTCAGCACCTTGCCAGGCCTTCAGCACAGAGAGCTTTTAGAGGATTTTAGATGCTTGTCTCTCGCTGCCACTGGGAGTTAGGAAATGTAGAGTGGGAGAAGGCTGCATTGTAGCTGAGATTACAGTACAATTTGAGTCTTAAGATCACTCAGGCAGATCTTTAGGTACTACAAATCCGTGTTGTAGCAGTAGAGTCTTTGGAAATACGCTGGTGTGTATCAGTTGGGCAACAGTGAATAACCATGGGGACTGTAAGAAGAGTAGCCCATGCACTTTTGGGACTGTCTGGGAGCCACAGGAGCAGAGAGAAAAGTGGAAACATGGTGCTGCATTTGGCCAGTAGTCCTGAGGATTTAACAGTTGGTTTTAGTGTTTTTTAGTGTTTTTTAGTGTTTCACTCACTTCAACTCAGTGAAGTATGGAGCCCACCCCATGCACTTCCTCAGTTCTCCCTGAAAATCTTAAAGTCTCCTACTTGCTCTTGTGTACTGAGGTACCAGCCAAACTATTAATTAATTAATTATTAGAGCACTATTAATTCCAAAAGTGGAGTTGCTGTGATTGCCAGGGTCTGCAGCTCAGTGTTGTGCCTGTAAATATTAATGGTCACTCTGCATGCTGTGTGTTCCTACAGTGGGCTCACGGGACAGTTTGCTTTGAACCAGAGAAAACATGAAAATGACCCTCTTTTTCATCCTCCCCTCCCCGCCTAATGCCTTTGTAGATAATTGGCATTTAGCAAAGGCCAAGTCAGCATTTCCACTTCTTGCTCGTACTTTCTGGGGTTTGTAACTTAGTCATAAAAATTCACTTAAGGCGGCAGCTTGGCAGGAAAGGGATCAGCATACCAGCTAATGCTGAAAATTTTTTTAGACCTTAATGTTTAAAAGTTCGAGCAAGCCATTTAGAGATCAGTCAACATGACCTCTCACCCTGGGAAAACACATGGGCTGGCCAGAGCTGCAAATATCACATCCACCTAGGATGCAATTCCCCTTTGTGCAGAGCCTGTTAATCACATCGCTGCTGTGCCGACTGAAATTGCAGCCCTGTTGCAGTAGAGGCTGAGAAAAGAACTTGCTCCAAACCAGTTTCTGCCCTAGAGAGTGACATCTTACAGCGACGTGGTTTGCCAGTGGGTAAAACAAGCAGAGCAAGAGCTGAGATGGGAATGAAGAAGCAGAGAAATGCCCCAGCTCAGTGGCCATGTGGTGCTGAAGCCATCAGTGCCTAACAGGAGACCAGCAGTGGGTCTTGGCATGGACAAACCACCCAGCGTGGATGCAAAAACATCCATGGGCATGCAATGGGCTGTCCCACAGGCCCAAGGCATGAGCAGTGCTGGGCCACACCACGGCAGAACCCGTTTGGCTCGCTCGGGAGGCAGAGCCAGGAGCTGCTCAGCTGGTCTGGCCCTGACGTGGGAGTTCTGAGACTGCCACGACTCCTCCTGAGTTTTGTCTGCTGCCTGGGGGTAGTGCCCCCTCATGACAGAGTGGCAAAACTGTCTTTTGTCCCCCAGAAAAGGAAAGAAGCCCAGAAGTTTCTCTCAACAATTAGGTGAAAAGCCACCTCATGGGACTGCAGGGACTTCACCAAAAACTTGAGGACAGCTAATTGCATAGAAGCCAAAAAGTCCCACCTGAACCATCAGGTAGAAAAAGAAGAGAACAAAAGAGCTAAGAGCTTTTGTGAGGTGTTTTTACCAGGAGCAGACCTCTGCACCTGGCTCGAGTTTTTCTGTTTGTTATTTTGCCTTTTATTAAACCTTTTTGTTTCTAACACTGCAGCAGAAGCCATCCTGCTTATTTTATGCCCCCAAAATAACAGCTGAGCTATCCTTGGGTGTATTATATTTCTTTTGAGAGCTTATGAGACATGGCTCAAGAAAAAGAAATCTAATACCTGGGAGCTCCCTGCTGGCTGCATTGGAGCACCAGTGAACAGGGCCACCCCTGGGATGTGGATGCAGCAGCCTGGTCAGAGAGAGAGAAAGCCAGATAAAGTTTTCCCAAGAATCAGCCTGGGAGACTTTAGGGAGCTGGAGAGAAAGAATTCTAAACAATCTGCACCTGGTGTTTTGTAATAAGCTGTTTTGCCCAAAAGGTTGTTTACAAATGGTGTCTTATTAATTAGCCAATCATGTGAAATGTATTGATTAAATGACCAGGCAGGTCCACCTGCGTTGACCAGGGTATAAAAGAAGCAGTTTCAGTAAAGTCAGGGCTTTGAGCCTCTCAGCCTTCTGGTCTGGAATCTGTGATAAGGGACACAGTCTGACCTGGGCAGTGGCACGTGGAATTAGCTGCTCCTTGCTGATCATTTTTTGGCTGTGTTTGGGTGTTCAGTGGGAGGTGGAGGAATATTGCCTTGACCTGGTGACTCCTCTGCTTAACCCATGGGCTGTTTCAAACAGAGGATGTCAGTGGCTGATCCAGAGTGATCCCCAGACATGCCCAGTGTGCCTGTCACTGCCTGTTCCTCGGGATGTGCAGCTCCAGCTGGATCTGTATGTGGTATAAGCACCAGCACACTGCCAGAGCCTTTGCTCTTGGTTCCAGGCTCCTCTCCTGCAGTCACCCAGGCAAGGTCTGTGCTGATAAATCAAGCAGTGCCTGGACTTGTCTCTGTTACAATGATGGAGTATTGCACTGTGAATTTTGGCTCAGTCCAGGTGCATTTCAGGAGCCAGCATGGGCCAGGCTCCTTATGGGATGCCTGGATTTATCCACACAGGTTTGGAGAGTGAGAATTCAATAGGAAAACCTTGGCCATTCTGTGCCAGCTGTCCTCTAAATGCAGGAGAATGTCCCAGGCACATCTGATTTACTGGCACAGACTCAGCCACAGGACATGGGTCCCCTCAGCCTTTTGGGAGCTGGGGCTCATTGAGGCCAGGCAGCTTTTCTCAGCATGTATGGCTTGCCTGGAGAATGGAGTTCAGGAAGTCATTGGTGAATAGGTTAAATAAAGTAGACGCCAGCACTGAGTTCAGCAGAAGTCTATTATCTGGAATCTATTGGTGTTGATTTTCTGGCCTGGAGCCACCTGAAGGCATCTATCTCAGGGCATTAGCTCAGTTACCATAACAACTCATCCAGGAAAAACTCCTGGCAGCTCCAAGAGCAGACCAAGGTCCCGTGTTGTATATCACAGCCACTCTTAGGTCAAAATAAGCATGTCCAGGTTCCTCCCTCTCCTGCAACCCAGCCTCAGTGTCCCCTGTGAGTGCCAGCCCTTATAGAAGCTTTGACATGCCTGGGAACCCATTTTATTCTCCAGAGGCTGCTCAGTCTGGTTTTCCAAAGGTCCATCCACTCAAGGATGGATATTTTACCTCCTGCCAGAGTAACAAACCCATCCATCCTCGGGGAGCCCATTGCATTCCCTTCTTGGCATTCAGTTTAGAGCGTCTGATTTTTTGGAGCTGTAAATGAAAACTGTGAGTGAGCCAGTTGCACAAGGTCCAGTTTAGCTGATGCTAAACTCCTGCCTATGTCTGACTCCGTGGTGACATAAGCAGCAATGCCAGCAGTGGCTCATTCCACACCTACATCAGCCCTATCAGCCCTGCCCCCTGTCACTGGAATTGCCTGGGATGCACTCACCAAGCACAGCAGGTGATGCTGGACCTCTAGAAACAACAACAACAAAAAAACCCTAATGGGATTTACACAGTTTGACCCTGAAGTAAGTTTTTACTCCGGGTTTCAGCGTGGCTTTGTGAAGCCTGCTCTTTGCACTGACCCTCCCGCTCCTGCGGCTGCTCAGCAATTACTCCTCAGCGTGGAGGGGAGGCTTTTCACCCCCATCCCACTTCTACAGCCTTGCCCTGCTAAGCTGAGGCCTAGCAGCAGGCTCTGAGGCATCTCCAGCAGGATAACGACCCTTTAAATAGCACTGGGAGTCTCTCTGCTCAGGGAGAACTAATTAAGTTCTTCAGTACATGCTTAGACATATGCTGACCTGGTATGGCCTTAACAGGTCTGCTTCCACCTACCAGATAAATAATACTGCCTTAAAAATATCCTCCTGGAGATGTGTTACTGAGGCAACAGCCAGGTGGGGGGCTGGCTGCATCTCAGTGGCTGAAGGTAGCATTTATGTGCATTATTCACGGGCCAAGCTCTCTTCTGGTGTCCTCAGTTAAGTGATTTTTAAGTTCTGAAAGCATTAGTGCAGTTACCTCTGCTGCCACCTCACAGCACACGGGTCAGACAGTCACACCTGTATTTAGCTCATTTACTTATTGTTCAGCCCAAGAAGCCTCATTTAACAAAACAACTCAGGGTGGCAGCGATGGAGAACATGGTGCACAGGGTTTGAATTCCTCCCTGTGCAGTTGCATGGGATTGCAGCAGATGAAACTGAGCTAATGTGTTCCCCAGGGCTCTGTCTTGGTTCTAGGCAAAGAATAAATGAATGGGAAGTACCATCTAATGTAGGTTTCTTTCTGGTGGGATGTGGCCCAGCTTAGTGGACTTCTCTGTAGTTGTGCTGATTTATATCAGGGGAGGATTTTGCCCAGTTGGGATAAATCCCCCCTCCTGTGTCATGGTGTTTTATGGGACAGATGTGCTACAGGGTGGGCTCGCAGCAAACCCTTGGCTATCAAAATCCCCTGCAATTTCAAGGGAAGAAAGTGCTGAAATATGAATCCTGCTCTGGGTTTTACAGAAAACCCCACCAGAGACTGATATCAGCCTTACTAGACTGATCCTTTGCTAGAACACAGCAAAAACTCTCACCCCACAGACTTTGAAATTCTCTAAGATCTGATGAAATATTTGCAGCACAGGCTCAGTTTCCTGTCATAAAATGAAAACATAATTGCAAACAGCAATTCACAGGAGTCAAAAGCCTCAGCCCTGCTCTTAGCTGCAGTGCAAGGTGGGATAATGAGCTCTCCAGGCCCTGAAGAGGTACCCCTCCAAAGTTTGAGCTTTAGGCTCTGTTTTGGAGACCCCAGGGGATAGCACTGGGTGATTTTTAAGGGTTTTCAGAAGAGTAACTTAGAAAAGAATTCTACTTTGCTAAGTTCAGGCCTTCTATGGAGGCTCTGGACCCCTGTCAGATGTTGCTAGACCCACAACCCCAGAAAGGCACCACTGAGTGCTAATGCCTCAGGGTGAGTGTGGTGAGAGCAGTTCAAGCTCTTACTGCAGACATTCTCAAAGTGCTCCTAAAGCTACAGACTGCCCTTGTTCTAAGATGAAAAATGGATTTCCAGGAGCAGGCACTAAAGAGGAAGAGCCTGGCTTATCAGAAAAAGGCTTCCAGACAGTTGTGGATTACCTGAAGGAGGGTGAAGGCATCTTCTGTGGAAGGATAAACAGGTTTGAAACGCTGCAAGTGGCTTATTCTGAGTTATGTAGTGTGATTGAAGAACAGAACCAGCCAGAGGATGAGCTTTACATTCTCCACATGTCAGGGTCCGTGCCTGCTTGGTCAAATGCCATTTTTGATTGCATCCAAGTATTTGCCTCTTTCTTATTCAGATAATGCCAAGGAGCACAGCCAAAGCCATGAGGGACGGGGAGTGTGACAAGGGCTGAAGGGAAGCAGATGGAAGAGAGCTGGCCCACGGAAAGGCAGCCTGGCCACCAGTGTTGGTAAGTCCCTCCCTGCAGGCCAGCTCGAGGACTGTTCACAAAAGCAGCTCCAAGTGTTTCCAGCATGGTGCCCATGAATAATTAACCCAAACAAAACAACAAATGAGTGTTTCCTCATCAGCGTGCCATGTGGACCCAGCTGCCAACGGAGGAGTGTGGTGAGGCTGACTCAGCTCCTGAGAGCCATGGACCAGTGAAATGCCCAGGAAAGGGGATTCCTGCCTGGGCAATGGAGCAACAAGGAGCTGAGGTGGACTTTGCTTAGGGCCCTAGATGGGCACATGGGACATCCGAGCCTCCTGATGGCTGCTCTCAGGATTCTGCAGTAAGTTGCTGGTCTTGGCTTTTGTTTTCCTACATGTAAGTGTGAGATGATTCTTTTTCCCTTTCAGCCTGGCCATCCAGGTGTGAATGGCTCAGGTTATGGACTGTCTGGGCTCCAGAGCACTTTCTGTTCAGGGGAGCCCCATTTCCAGGTTACAGGCTTTGCACAGCAAGAAGTGGTGGGGGCTGGAGGCAGCCCTGGAGCTTGGCAGCCTCTCTGTGTGCAAAGCACAGGAGCTGGTTCTGGTATAGCCACCACCTCACCTGATCTCAGGGACCCACAGGTACCCCAAAACTGCCTCATTTTGGAGCCAGGGTTTATACAGCAGTGAGCCTCCTTGTGTTCTTCTGTCTGCAGCTGGTCCTCCCCTTTCCCCTGCTCCAATAACTTCTGAACCAGCTGACCTGATTCAGCCCAATCTGATGGAAAAAGAGAGGTCTCACAGACCCAGGATTCCTGCAATTTTCATCAGCAAACAGCAGCTGGATAGAAGAGAGACATTTAAGTTAATATTCTATTGAAAGAAAGGCAATTACACCTCCTGCTCCCTGCCTGTTTTGGGATGCAGGTGACCACAGGCATTTAGATATGACTATTTAGATATTTAGATATGATTTAGATTTAGTCAGTGCCTGCCCAGCTCCAGACCAGCCCCTGCACTTGCTGCCCCTTCCCTGCAAAGCAAGAGGCTGCTGGAGCAGCCAAGGATTTTGCTGGGAAGCTCTGGAGGGCATCAGGTGCCCTGAGGATATTGCAGTAAGCTGGGAGCACCAAGAAAGGAAGAAATAAAAAGCAGCTGTAATACAAATCAGAGGAAGAACGGGTTTCACCAGTTTCTTACTCACAGAACAACTTGAGTTTTAGGTTCAAACTTATTTTCAGGAAAACAAAATGGATGTTTCACTAATCTCTACAGTACTTTCCCCAGAAAATTCCAATGACTGGCAACTCTTACCAACTGGCAACCAACCCAAACATCCTAAATCTGCATTTTCTGGGGTTTTTTTGGCCATGAGAAAACATTTGATTCTTTTTTTCCAACACAAGCATTTGACAAAATGCTATGGAAAATAGAATTTTTCATTTTCTTTTTCCCAAAGAACAAAAATATTCTCCCCAAGAACACACTTAGACTTTGCACAGAAAGAGATTCTAAGACAAAAACCTGAACACAGTCACAGCTGAACATTTTTTTAAGCCAATGGGATGGACAAAGAGTGGGACTGGACTAAGTGTGGCAAGAAGGAATGTGAGTTTTCCAAGGTCAACCAGCAAGGCAGGTGCTGCCTGTTGGGTCAGCAGTTCTGCCACTTGACCATGCAGTGCCTCTGCATGTCTGTCTATCCTGAAATAATGAATTTCTTGGAGCAGAGCCAGTACTTTCCTGAGTGCTTGCACCTCACACAGCCCTGGGTGTAGTCATAAATAATAATTAAAATTAGAATTATAATATTAAAGTGGATGTGTGCCACTGGAGATGGGACACACTGAGCAACAGAGTTCTAAATCTATGCCCTCATCTAGTAAAAGGTGCAGTTTGCTTCACAAAGCCTGGGAAACAGGATTTGCTTCCCTGGGCTTGATAATCACAGTTTTTTGCTCTGCAAAAGGCAAACTGACCTGAGCTGAATTAGGTCCAATATCTACTGTAACACTTCCTGCCTGTAGCTGGCAGCTCTGGTCAGCTCTGGGAGGCTTTTTGCAGTTCAGGGGGATATCTGGAAAGACTAAATTAACCGTGGTGGTGTGGGGAGCTGCCTGGACTAATGTTTTTTTTCAGAGATAGGCTTTGATTGACACTTCAAATCTGCCTGACAATCTTTTATTCCAAGTGCAGTTGCTGCCTTTCTCCAGAGCAGGAAGAGCTGGTTTGGTTGCTGTCCTTCAAATGATGCATCTCATCACGTGGGAAAGAGTAGGACAAAACCACCTAGAAAGAGCCACAGGACCAGCACAAAAAGAGGTAAAACCAACTGGATCTATTTGAGGTATTTCTGCTTTTTTCCTCTATGCCACAATCCAATGCAAGACACTTGGGAACAGGGGCTGTGCTCTGAGGAACAAGAACTGACTGGGTTTTTTTTTTCTTTGTTTGCCTGTTTATTGTTTGGTTTTTGCTGCAAGAGATTTATTTAATGCTTTAATGCTAACAGAACTGTGCAACTCTTCAGTGATGAATCCTGAAATTCCCTGAGCTGGGAGGGACCCTCAGGGATCATCAGTGCAGCCCCTGGCCCTGCACAGACCCCAAAATCCCACCCTGGGCATCCCTGGGAGCTCCTGGAGGACCATTCCCTGGGCAGCCTGGGCAGTGCCAGCACCCTGGGGGGAAGAACATTCCCAAAATCCAATCTAAACCCCCCAGACAGCTCCAGCTGTTCCCCAGCATTCCCAGTGGCAGTGTGTGAGGACAGAGGGATTATCTCTTTTACTCACTTGTTTTACACTGCCTCTTACTCCTGGTTGCTGGGTGGTGGGATCCCACCTCTCAGCTGCTCTCAGAATAGAATGGAATCCACTTTTTGTAGTGGAATTCAAACACTGGGGGCTTACCTGAGCCTGGCCAAGAAGGCTGGATCACCACATGGGCAGAGGGATGCTTCCAGTCCTCTTCTGCACACACACCTAGGGGAAAAATAAATCTTTTATTTGAGACGTCCTCTCTCTCCTTGCTTTCCTAGGTCCTTCAAAACCAGCCAGGCTCTTTGGAGTTTTGCCTTTCTACAAAAGGCAAACTGACCTGAGCTGGATTAGCTCCAGGATCTACTCTAACACCTCCTGCCTGTAGCTGGCAGCTCTGGCCAGCTCTGGAAGGCTTTCTGCAGCTCAGGGGGATCTCTGTAATGACTGAATTAACCGTGCTGCTGTGGGGAGCTGCCTGGATACCAGCAAAGATGCTGACAGTAAGAACTGCTGTGAAATGGGTGTTTCCCTTGTCTGTGAACACAGGTGGGGCCGAGCCCAAGGACCAGCACTGGAAGGTGTGGGAGGTCCTGAGTGGGCTGGAGATGGAGAAGTCTGAAAGCTCACAGAGCTGCTCTGTGCACGGGACTGCTGCTTGCTGGGACTGTTTACCTTTGGGATCCTGCTGCTGGTGGAGCATCACAGCACTGGAGCATCCAAAGCACTGCTGTTCACCTCCTCCTTGCAGCTGCAGCCAGGACTTTCCAGCAGCTCCTTCTCCAGAGCAGAAGGCAAGCCCAGGCAGGTCCTCTCCAGTCAGGCAGCTCAGGCTGGGGCACGTTCCAGTGGCTCCTCTGTGCTTCTCCTGTACCTGAGACAAGCATGCATCAAGTGTTGCAGTTTACAGGGCCATCAGCCTGGCAGCTTTCCTCGCTAAATTCGCTTTTTAAAGTTCCATCAGTGCTGTATCCAGGGGGAATGGAGGAACAGATGCAGCCTGTGAAGTCTGGCTTTAATTCACCCGCCTCATTTAATTTCCTGCCCTGCCTACTAATCAATGAGTCTGCACTAGCAGCTCTGGGAATACCATGGCTTTTCCACATCCAGGAGAGTTCAACCCAGTGGCTGAACTGCCAGGGTCTCAAGCAGGCTGTCACTGTCCTTTGAGGCCCCTTCATTGTGGATTTCCCTCCTCCAGAACCCTTGCAGACACCCTGCAGCCCACAGCAGCTGCTCCTCATTTCCTTGCAGGGCACAGGGGCAGCTCTGTCCCATTGTCCCCCTCAGCCTGTGTGGCATTCCCTCCTGGAAGTTCTCTCCTTCAAGGGTTTCAGCCCCAGGCTTTGCTTTTTGGGCCACACACTTCTTGCTGGGGCCATTTGTCACCTCCCAGCAGAGCCTCCAGGGGCTCCTGTGCCCCCACAGCCCCCGAGTGTGTCACCTCCTGTGGCAGCAGCTCCCTGGCCACAGAAACACAACTTGCCCACTCATCGTCCTGGGAAAATCTGTCAGAAGATCAGAGAAAAGAATGAGAAACAATTCTTGAATTGCTACACCTAGGATTGGAGAAACAGTTCTTAAATTGCTGCCCCTAGGATTGTGAACATGTAAAATGTGTTATAAAGATTTGTTTACCAAAAAGTAGTTTCTTAATTAACCAATATTAAGAGTGTTTTAAGTAAAAAAAAACAAAACAATTAAGTCAACCTGTAGTGAACTAATCTATGAAAGAGCAATGAGTTTCTTAATAAAAATATATGAATCAACTTTCTGTAATACATAAAGTCTACAGCAATGATGACCTGGCTGGCTTCATCTGCTGTGGTGACCCCAGGTGTCCCTTCTCCCAGGACAGTGGCCCCACCTCAGCTCAGTGCTGCTGTCAGGCACTGCCTCAGACCCTCAGGGCTGCAGGAAGCAGCAGTGAAAGGGTTTCTGGCACTTCTGCTGTGTGTAAGCAGACCTCCTCAATACTGGGGTTTTTTGGGGCTCCTGTTAAGCTGCTCTGTTGTTGAATCAGCCGTGTCAAGGCTGCCTTTGCCTGGTAGTACCCATTGTGTGACATCTCTTGTTATAACCTGTACCAGATTGCTCTTTGCCTGCTAAAATGGACAAGTAGGATCCAGTTGTGATGCAAATCACACAGTGGAATAAAATCCCCCATAAGTAGTTATGTCAGCCTTTGTTATGGCAGGGTGGCTTCAACTCTGCTTCTGCTCTGGAGGATCAGGAGGAGAGAGTCTGTTGTGTTTTATAGGCACAAACTCGATGTAAAGCTGCCTTTAGGCACTGGCAGCCCTGGCAGTGAGTGTGTGTGTGCAAACCCAACAGACAGATTCCACCCACACTGGAAATTTGATGATTGCCTTGTTTTGTCAAGGCTCTGTTTTATACACCACAGGCCAAGCCCGTGGGGTGATTGCCAGTCTCTGCACAGGGGCTGAGATGAGAGAGAAGCACAGAGATGCTGGAATTTCAGTCTGCCACAAAATGTGCTCCTAATCCTGATGGCCTTGTAATTGTGATGCTGTCACTGGTGTCATTGCAGTTGTTCTTGTCACTGTTTTCCTGTGGTTGGTGCTAAATATTGTAAACAAAGAGAAATATTTAGATTTGTAATGGAAATCTAAATTTACGGTGGAATTAAAAACACAGGAGCCTGAAAAGTCAAATGGAAGAGGTATGTTTTCATTTCAAATGGCAAGTCATAGCCATGTAAAGTGATATTTTGTTGATACAGCTGCTTTTACTGCAGATCTGCTTTGCATTTCCCCAGGCCATGGGTAGCAAAGAATGACGCTGAACGTTTCCTCACCCTGGAGAACTGAGGTGGAATATCTGTGTTGATAAAGTGCTACAGCTGGAGGTCAGTGTTGTGAGGGTTACCTGAGCTTGTGCCCTACCTGTGAGACCCAGAGTGGGAGCAATGCCTGTCCATAATGGAAATTCTGCCTTCCAGAGGACAGCAGGAACCAGGGTGAGGCTGGTGGAGCCAGATGGATGAGCTGAGCTCAAAGTCCTCCAAGGAGCTATGGCAACAGAACTTGTATATCTACTCAGAAAAGCCTTTGCAACCACCATAAATGACTTTAAATGGCCTTATTTTCCTGCTAGCAGTGGAATAAGCAGCTTCAATGGGGAGGAGTAAATCCACTTGATTACACATGTTGCTGGGAATAGCACTCTTATTGGTTATTACTAATAACCCAATCTGTTACTGGTGCTGTGGCTGCTGACACAGGCACTCTGATCTGCCAGAAAATAACTGTACAGCTCCTAAAATTCCAATTACAGTGGAACAAGGGGACTCAGAAGGGCCCCAGGGGAGGAAACTCAGTGGGAAGCAAAGTCAACATGGAGCACTTGGGTTATAAATAAGGGGTGTGACAAATGAAATCTATCTTTGGAGGAGGATTTCTGCCAGGCAAGGCTGAGCTCTTTCCATCCTGATGCTTTGCTCAGGCCATCCATGGTGTTGGTGTGTCAGGTCATGAGGTGATGGAGGTGTTGGTTTATTGGCTGATTTGGAGGAAAGAGGGAATTCCAGCCCTTGGTGTGCAAAGCAGCTCGAGCTCAGGGCTTCAGTCCAGGATTTAGATGAAATTTCTCCATTGAAATCAATGGCAAAGCACCTGATCACCACAGCAGGAGTGTTCTCACACAGCAACGCCCTGGGAAATTCTCTCTTGGAATAGATCACATTCTGCCCTTATTTATGCAATTATAAATTCAGGGTAGCTCCATTTGAAACAACTGTTTTCATCTGATGCAAATAAAATCAAGATCTGGCCCAGGCTGCTTTTGTACACAATGGAAACTGACTGAATTATGGAAAACAGGAAACAAATCTAATGTAAATCTGAATGGAAATATCATGCTCTCTGTTACATCAGAATAAATTGGAAGGAAGTCTGTTGATTCCAGTGGAATTCATCTGGATTTACACCAGACTGTGGCTCAGCATTTGTCAGTTGGCTGCACACTGACATCAAAACTCAAACCATGGCACCTCATCTGAATAGCTTTGAATATTTTCTCCCTTTTCCTTTATATTTAAGCAGTTGGCTGATTAGCCTTTTCAAACAAACAAACCCCTGCAAAGAGGCATCAACAAATGAGCCTTGCTCTCACCAGCATTTGCAGAATCTAGATGATGAATATGAAGTCCTGAGCTTGGGTTTAGTCACTTAAACTTGCTCCTGCTCCTCTATGTTCCCACTTTAGAGCAGCAGGATTGAGCTCATGGGGGGTCAGATCTTGACAAATCCACTTTGATTTCCCCAAAGGAGGGAAATCCCAAAGGCAAATTCATTGCCCTCTCTCCAGCACTGGGAAGGGCCAGCAGTTTCCTGGGATACACGGGATTCACCCCTTCAGTAGATCAGCAAAATATTGTCATTCTTTCCCTCTTTCTGCCTCCAGGCAGATGGCGAGGATGGAGCCAAACCCCTCCCTAATGGATCTAATAGGGAACCTAATGAATTTCCTAGGGAATTGTGTCACACTGTTTCCACAGGCAAGGGGAACACGGGAACCTGTGGCTACTTTTCATGGCAAAACAAGGGGGTTAATTAATGCCTGAGCAACAAATTTGACTCCCTGGGTGAAAGTCACTGGAAAAACACAATATCTGAGCAAGAGCATAGCCACATCAGCCCTTCCCTTAATTCTCATATACCCCAGCTTCTTACTTAATGCAGTGTTTAATCTGTGCTCATGTTTCTCTTCAGATAATTAGTGAAATGCATCTTAATTAAAACAAGAGGAGAAGAAGACAAACAAAGGAAAGCCCTGAGTCAATGGGATTCAGGGAGGGGCAAAGCCAGAATTCAAATAGAAATCTTGAGGCAAACGTGGTAATAGCAGCTGTGGAGAGTGTATCAAAGGTAAAGAGTTGTCTGAAAGTTGGGTAACTTTTGGCCTGTCCATCTTTCTGAAAAAAGGGACTGGCTAGAGCCTGATGTGATACCACAGAGCTGAAATCAGTCTCATGGGGAGGAGAGCTGGGGGAGCTCCGTGGTCAGCACTCTCTCTTTTCCTGTTTCTCTGTCCCTGATTTTCTGTGGGATCCTCAGGAAATCAGCTGGGCAGGGTTTTCACAAGGGGCCCCTGTCTGGGGTCGCTCTGGTGTGTGGATGTTCACCCTGAGCTGTGCCAACCACCCTTTGCTGCCCATGTGGATCTCAGCCACAGGACCTGAGCGTGCCAGCCACTCCCTCTCAGAGTCCTTGTTTTCCCGTCTGGACATTGATAAAATAAATACTTGCCTGATTTTATGAACCTATTAAATGCTCTCTAGTGAAAGAGGCTTTTGAAAGACCTGTGATTGTTATGGTTTACTTTTCTTAGCCTTGTTCCTAAGGCTGCGTTCAGGGCCAGGCTGGATGGGGCCCTGAGCAGCCTGGTCTGGTGAGTGCCATTCCTGCCCATGGCACTGAATGATCTTTAAGTTCCCTTCAAACCCAAACCATTCTGGCATTCTGTGATTCCTGCAGGTGAGCTCTGCCTAATTTGAGAGATCTTTCTCACTGCTGCAGACCTGTGTGGAGTGCTGTAGCCATGATATTTTATGAAAAATCCTCTGCTAGGATTTTTCCAGTGATGCTGGCATGGCTGAGCTTGGAAGCAAAGAAAGATTCAATGAGAGGGAGCTGGGTCTCAGAATGGAATCAGGGAAGTCAGAATGGAACCAGGGAAGTCAGAATGGAATCAGGGAATGTCCTGAGCTGGGAGGGACCCTCAGGGATCATCAGTGCAGCCCCTGGCTCTGTACAGACCCCAAAATCCCACCCTGAGCATCCCTGGGAGCTCCTGGAGCTCTGGCAGCCTCAGGACCATTCCCTGGGCAGCCTGGGCAGTGCCAGCACCCTCGGGGGCAGGAACCTTGCCCTGAGCTCCATGCCAAGCACAGCTCCAGCCCTTGGTGGGCTCCTGTCCCTGGCCCAGAGCAGAGCTCAGCCCCTGCCCCTCTGCCCCATCTCTGCTCCACAGGGCTTGCACTGGGCTGCAAATATCCACAGTCCTGGGGAACCACCGAAGTCAATTTTCCAGCCTCCTTGGAGGGTCTCAGCTGCATCGCTGGTCTTTACTCACTGCCTGCAAATGATCCAAGTGCCCACGAGAATGAAGCTGATATTGAGGTGGATGTAATGGGGCCACCAAACAGAGCCAAGAGAGAATCACAACTGCAGAGACATTTTCTGCTCCAGCAATACAAGAAGATGGGGGGCAGTTTTTTGCGTTTATAGGAGTAAAACTCTTTAGGCAAGGACCTTAAAAGTGGGAATAATTATAATTTACTGTTCACACTATGCAATGGGGAATCAGGCCCAAGCTTGTAGCTACAAGATTTAGCTATAAATGCTGTGGACTGACTGTGCTGTACAGAGATTTACTGAGTCACATTGATTTCAGAACTGCTTTCCCCAGGGAATGGCACTGTTTTATTCCAGCAGGGTTGTGAGACCCTACACTTGATTCTGATCTTATGTTCTGGAAAATGGAGTGATTTTCAGTGGGTATCTGCCTGACCCACTTGCATATGCATGTAACGTGCCTTCAAGAGCTGATACAACCTTGATAAGATTCTTATTTAAGTCGTTATTCTAATTAAACCCCATTATGTTGGGAAGAATTCTGTCCATTTCCTCACAGAGACTCTGAGCTCTGAGCTGGGTCTCACAGCAGGAGTCAGGGCTGCCCATGATGGCAATAGAACAGGTTAGCCTGTAAACCCAGAGCAAATTTGCAAACTCCATTTGTTAAAAAGAAATGCATTAATGGATCCTGCGACTGATCTCCTGAAATGTCATTTGAATAGTTTTGACTGTGCTTTTGTTTTTTTTTTTTTTCCTGGGAAATTTCACAGTACAAAAAGGCTTTTATTTTCCCTTTTTCATTTGCCAAGAATCTCTTTGAACGTTATTTGTAATATAGGCTGA